AGAGGAGGATTAAGATTAATGTAATTTAACTTTGAATTGCTTTGTAAATTATATGATAGGTTATTATTGTCATTTCCTCATCAACATATATTTACATTATGCGAAGAATGTATTTTCCATATAATTTATTTAACATTTATATTTATTTGAATTGTTAAACAAATTCAAATATAAAAAATTCAGATACTTGCATGATGAACAACTTGTATTGCGTCGCGAAATTCTTTTTTAAATGTTACGCGGAATTCAAATTTTTTTATTTAATCAAAAATTTGCACGACGAAAACTAGATATTTGTCGTGCAATTTGTATTTACGCGATGAATATCAATGATTTGTCGCGCAATCCCCAATATTTGGCGCGCCATTTAATCTTCAAGAAAATTTAAATTGCCACTAAAATTTAAAAAAATTTACACGACGAATTCGTTTCAATACATGTATATTTAAGCGACGAACTCTTCGTTGCGCAAAAGTGTTCGTCTTAATTAGTTCTAAAAACCTTTATCCTCTCTCTCACAAAGCCTCACTTTGTTTTCTCCGTCGCAGCCACTCTCCCTCCCACACCCACTCTCCCTCTCGCACCCATTCTCCCTGTCTCAACCACTCACATCCTCCCTCTCTCTCAAACCCAGTACCACCGCGCTGCCCCCAACGCTGTCGTTCCTCGCGTGGCTCCACCAAGCACCACCGTCATCCACACCATTTTCTAACCTAGTGGTCTTTAATTTCATTTTAAATTAGTAGGGTTTAGGGTAATTAGCTACGGGATTAGGGTTAGGGGAATAGATTATCCAAATTAGGGAAATGTAATGATTAGGTTAGGATTAGGGCATGTATTAGATTAAGTTTTAGGTTAAAATTTGGAATTTCGTATTTTTTGTTAATATTTGTAGTTTTAAGGTCTCGATTTGAATTTCAACGTTAAACTAACGTAACAAAAATAGAGTCATGAAACTTAAGAAAGTACGAGGATATAATTCTAGAGTCAAGGCTCAATAAATTAATTAAGACACCCACTCATGGGTAAAATAGTCATTTCCCAAGTCTCGGAAATAAAATACAATATTTTGAGGTATGGGTTAACGGGAGTTGAAACATCATGCCGACCAAGAGTGACAAACACCACCACCGCAGTAGTTGTTTTAGTTAGCTGTTATGGCCGAATAAAATATTTTCTTAGTATGTAATCGGGTTGGAATAATATTTTATTTAAAATTTATGTACGCTTCAAATATTTTCTTCATTTGTATCCGGTTATATCTTTACTTGAAGTATTTATTTGCTTAATTTGATTTACCTTATATGGACTCATTAAGTATATCCTTTAAGTATAGTATTTTTTTAATTGAATAAAAAATAATTAACCAATACTTTTAATTAATTTATTAAAAATTAAATAAATATGCGTGATGAACACTGTATGTCGCGCATAGTATCTTTACGCAATGAACTGAATATTTGTCGTGCAACTGACCTTGACTTGACGAATGACGTTTTTGTTGTGCAAGGATTCTTACGACACTTTTCCGACGCCTGAGGCAGCTTTGTAGAACCACCCTTGCAGTTTCTGGAGAAGGTGGCCAAGTGGGAGTGGCTTTGCACTAATTTTTAGAGTGAAAAAAGTATCAGGTAATCAAATTTTATTTACATTTTATTTTAATTTAATTATTATATTCTTTTAGTTAAGTTAAATTAATATTTTGTAATCAACAAATATGATCAGTAGAAAATCAAGGTAACCGGGACAAAAAGCCATACCATTACCACTATGTTCTCGACCCCTATCTTATCAAGTCAAGGAACGGTGTCACATCCCGACCCCGGCCCCCACCACATCCTAAACTCAACTTCACCGTAGCATGATATTGTCCGCTTTGGGCCCCGACCACACCCTCACGATTTTGTTTCTAGGAAGCCCGGGCCCTCACCATATCCCAGGCCGGGATGTGTCAAAAGGCGAGTGCCTGGGTAGCCTTTCTTGGAGATGGTGGTTTGGGGAAGATACGCACATCAATTACGGCAATGAGGTTGTGAACGAAATTTATGTAAGTATTTGTTTATATTTTTTAATTTAAAATTTCATTACAATAAATAAGTTTTAGATAATAATTTATAAAATCTTACTTTGTTTTTGTTGTTGTTTTTTTTTTTGTAGGATTCTATAGTGCAGAAGAAGGAAGAGAACCTTGCCAACCTTTCCCACCTGCATTTAGACGTGCCTATGAAGTAGCTGATACATGATCCAGAGGTGTATCTCCAGTTGCTCATGGATGGGGTTGGGCGAAAGGCAAGGAAGTTCGTGGCCTAGGAACTGGTCAGGTTTGGGAAGTTGGGTCTTCTCCTTCATCCAGCTCTACTACATCGATTGAGACTGATTCCAGACTTTAGCTGTCACATCCCAGCCCAAGCCCCTACCACATCCTGGGCTCGACTCCACCGTAGCACGATATTGTCCATTGGACCCCGACCACACCCTCACAGTTTTGTTTCTGGGAACTCACACAAGAACTTCCTAATGGGTCACCCATCATGAGATTGCTCTCACGTGAACTCACTTAACTTCGGAGTTCCGATGAAACCCGAAGCCAGTGAGCTCCCAAAAGGCCTCGTACTAGGTAGAGATGAGAATATACATATAAGGCTTACAGGATCTACTCCCCTAGGTGATGTGGGATGTTACAATCCACTCCCCTTAGGGGCCCGACGTCCTTGTTGACACACTTCTGGCCAGGGATTGGCTTTGATACCAAATTGTCACATACTGGCCCGGGCCCCCACCACATCCCTGGCTCGACCCCACCATAGCACGATATTGTCCGCTTTGGGCCCCAACCACGCCCTTACGATTTTGTTTCTGGGAACTCATACGAGAATTTCTCAGTGGGTCACCCATCCTAGGAATGCTCTCGCCCGAACTCGCTTAACTTCAGAGTTCTGATGGAACCCGAAGCCAGTGAGCTCCCAAAAAGCCTCGTGCTAGGTAGAAATTGGAATATACATATAAGGCTTACATGATCCACTCCACTGGGCGATGTGGGATGTTACATTAGCAGGTGGAGATGGAGCAAGCGCGCCAAAGGAAATTAGTGGGCATGTACTTCACTACCATATCTTGTCCTTGTCAGCTTCTGGCATTAGGATTCCAGAGCCCTTGGCCAACTTTTGTGGCCATTCCCCTAGCCATTCTTAGAGCTCCCCAGCAGCCGTCCCAAGAGCCGCCCCAACAGTCACAATACCACCGCATAGTATTTTACATTTTGTTTTTGTAATATATTTGTATTCACAATTTTTTTGGGGTTGTAAATATTAATCTTCCATTTGTGTAATACTTTTTTTTTTTAAATTTTAGAATTTTTAATTTTTAATTTTAATTTGTTTTTAACTTTTTGTAATGATTATTGTTTTTTAAATTTTAGAATTAAATAGATTATTTAATAGTTTTATTTTTTTTTTAATTTAAATAAACTTGGCCCACTAAGGTGTCGTTGCGTAAACATTTACCTGTTAGAGTTTACTCGACAATTGTGTTGTCGGTTTAAGCTCACCACATTATTAATTTATGTCCAAGCCGACGAAGTAGATTTCGTTTGGTAAGACGACTTCCGTCGGATCATATGAGTCAACGCCAGTGGCGAAGCCACGTGAGGGCGAGGAGTGGCGGCCGCCACTCCCCTCGCCGGAAAAACAAGACTGGAGTGCTGGTTTTGCCCCTCCCCTGCCGGAAAACCCACTGGTTCTGCTGCTCTGTTTGCTACGGTCGTCTGTCTGGTTGGTTCTGCTGTTTAGGCAGCAGAGCTGACTTAAATTTTTTTTTTAAACAACCAGGCCAAAACGACGTCGTTTTAGGCCTGGTAAAATTTTTTTTTAAAAATGAGAAAATAAAACGGCACCGTTTTGATAAGTTGGAAGAAATAAAAAATTCATATAAGGGGACACGCGGTCCCCCATTCATTCAATCTCTCTGTCGAACCCTTTACAACTTCCAATCAAACCAGCAGCAAAGCAGAGGCTGCTCCCCTATTCGAAGCAGAAAACGGAACAGAAGTCAAAAGGCCGAATCAGCACAGCACAGCATAGCAGCACTGTTTGGCCTTTTTTGCTGCGCCAGCTCCACTATAGTCATCTACACTGCAGGGCAGCCCTTCAAAGTTTCAAACCCACTATTTAGGTATATTTTTTAATCCCTAAATTTATAATCCCTAACCCTAATTTATTATTTAAAACGAATTTTGTTTAATTAGTATAGAATCATATAGTAAAGCACTAAATGCACTAATATGGTTATTGATTATTGATATGAAATTATGAAATTATGAAATTATTTTTTAGGGTAAAAATTAAAATTTGAATTCTCGATTATTGAATTGAATTATTACATAATGTATTATGTATACAATTATTCATATGATTAGTTGAATTGAATTTTTATTTATCGAATAATTTGTACGCTTATTGGTATTGATTAATTGAATTGTTGGTTGGATTAGTTATTATGCATACTATAGTATAGTCTACTCTAGGATTAAGAGTCTAAGTATTTTTTTTCTTTCTATTTTACAGTTACATAATGGAACGATACTATAAGAAACAATGCTTAAATCCTCCTTCAAACATTTTGGGTAGTCATTCTCCTTCAAATATTCCGAGTAGTCCTCCTCCTCCTTCAAATATTCCAAGAAGTCCTCATTCGAATATTCCTAGTAGGTCACAACAAAGTGAGGCCACTGAGTTAGATGAAATATTGGCTAATCTTCCTGTAGACCCTGGACATAGACGTCGAATGCTTGATTATCCACCTAATTTTCGTGAAGCAATTCGTAGACACTATCTCCAAAATGATCCTTGTCAACCTAGAGACCACATCATGCCAAGAAAAGTTAGTGACAAAAGATGTTTTATCATCGGTTGGTTTGATAAGTTTAAGTAGTTGGAGTATAGTATATCAAAAAATGCTGCATTTTGCTGTTATTGCTATCTTTTCAAATGTGATTTCGATCAATGGGTAGCACTGGAAGTGATGTCTTCACTGAGAAAGGGTTTACAAATTGGAAGAAAGGACCCCAAAATCTTCGAGTCCATGAGGGAGGTGTTGGAAGTCTTCATAATAAAGTTATACAACAAGCTAGAGATTTGATGGCACAAAAACAACACATTGAAACATTTGTGAGTAAGCAAACCGATGAAGCGCGCATTAATTATCGTACTTTATTGAATGCCTCACTTAAGTGTACAAGATGGTTATTGGGACAAGGTTTGCCTTTTTGTGGCCACGATGAATCGTTCAAATCAAGCAATAGAGGTAATTATTTAGAGCTTATGCAATTTCTTTCCAAGCATAATGAGCAAGTTAGAAAAGTTGTGTTTGAGAATGCTCCCAAGAATCTTAAGTATACTTCTTCCGATATTCAAAAAGATCTTGTCCGTGCTTGTGCCATTGAAACTATAGATGCAATCACTAAAGATATGGAAGGTGCATTTTTTTCTCTTTTGGTTGATGGATCACGTGATTCTTCAACTAAAGAGCAAATGACGGTGGTATTGCGTTATGTGAACAAAAAAGGAGAAGCAATTGAAAAGTTTTTGGGTGTGCAACATGTCACCTCTACAACTAGTAGCTCACTTGAAGAGGCTATTGAGAGATTCTTTGCTACAACAAATTTGAGTATGTCCAAGTTACGGGGACAAGGCTATGATGGAGCTAGTAATATGAAGGGTGAGCTAAATGGCCTTAAAACAAAGATTTTGAACAAGTATCTTCAAGCATTTTATGTTCATTGTTTTGCACACCAACTTCAATTAGCTCTTGTAGCCGTTGCAAAGGGAATTGAGGGTGTCGCCATTTTCTTCAACAATGCTAGTATCTTGGTCAATACTATTGGATCATCGTGTAAGCGTCGTGATGCATTTAGAGAGAAACAACTAGAACAAATTAAGAAAGCTCTTGATGTTGGTGATCTTGAAACGGGTAGAGGGTTAAATCAAGAGAGTAGTCTCATGCGTCCTTGTGATACACATTGGAACTCACATTATGGTACTATAGTGAGTATTATTGTCATGTTTGAAGCCGTGGTGGAGATGCTTGAATGGATTAAAGATGATACCAACCAAGACAATTTCGGAGAAGCAAGTAAGTTATTCCATGACATACAAACTTTTGATTTTGTGTTTCACCTTTTTTTAATGAGACTTATATTGGGAATTACAAATGAGTTATCACAAGCATTACAAAAGAAAGATCAAGATATTGTGAATGCGATGGCGTTAGTAGAAGTATGCAAGCAAAGACTACAATCCTTAAGAGATGATGATTTTGGGGACTTGCTTAATGATGTACAAAAGTTTTGTGAAGAACATGATATTGTCGTTCCTAACATGGAGGATTTGCATTTCGTACCCGGAAAATCAAGGCGTAAAGCTCCAAGACTCACAAACCTTCATTACTATCGTGTGGATCTCTATTTTCAAGTCCTTGATACGCAATTAAAGGAATTGAATGATCGCTTCAATGAGGTAAACACCGAATTGCTTCTTTGTATGGCATGTTTGAGTCCGGTGAATAATTTTGCATCTTTTGACAAAGCAAAAATTGTTCGTCTAGCTCAACTTTATCCTCAAGATTTTGATCGTATGGATCTCATAAATCTTCCCATTCAACTTGACAATTACATTTACGATATGAAGATGCATAGTGAGTTTTCATCATTAAGAGGAATTGGTGATCTTGCAAAGGAGTTGGTGAAGACCGGAAGGTGTGCAAGCTATATGTTAGTGTATAAGCTTCTTATATTGGCTTTGGTGTTACCGGTTGCAACCGCTTCGGTAGAGAGAGCTTTTTCTGCTATGAAGATTGTGAAAACACCATTACGTAACAAAATGGGAGATCAATGGTTGAGTGATAGCATGCTTGTTTACATTGAGAGAGATGTATTTGTTTTTATTGATAATGAGCCTGTTATGCGACGTTTTCATGATATGAAACCTCGCCGGCAACAATTGTAATTTGTTTATATTGATAAATTATGGAAGACCTTATTATATAAAAGGATTTGATTGTTGCTATTCTTTTGAACCTTACAATCTTTTAACTTCGCCCCTCCCCCAGTTAATTCCTGGCTTCGCCACTGGTCAACGCACTCTCGCTAGACAACCACTTTTGTCAGGTTAACATTAGTTTACCTGAAGAATAATTCATCCGTCGTGTAAGTCCTCACGCGACGAGTTTTATCCGACCATTTCTACTGACGAACCTCCGTCGGTTAAAGTTATCGGTGACAAATGCTACTTTTAGCAAAAGCAGTTGTTCCGTCTGTTTTATTTTTTAAGTGAAATTATCCACGAGAGGCAAAAGATGACTCTGTTCAGTGAATGTATGAGTTGTGCTCTCGAAGCAAAAAGCTTAAAGTTCACGTATTTTTAAGCACGTGCCAATATTTTAGGCTCTCTAATCATCAGGCTAGTGAGTTGTGAGACAGTGACAGATTATTTGTGTATATCTTCACCAAATGAATCATGGTCAGCCACGTGTTATTGCGCATGTACTTCCAAAAGTGAATTCAACTGAAACGTCCCATCCCAACTCTGTCTAATGCTTCACAGATCCCACTAATCAGATATTACCCTGTCCAAAGTTTTCCTTAAAGCAAAGAAGAGAAAAAGTGAATGGAATGGGGGATTAGAACTTTGCCTCTTACCAAAAGGCACCCAGCTGGTATTTTTGAGAAAGTAGAGTACATAGTATATATTTGTAAACCAAGAGAAAAACATCTACATTCTAGATTTATTATCTATTAGCCTTCTTTTCGTTGTGATTGTGAATTTATCTGCTATCTATTATCTATTATCTATTAATTTGGCTATGGAACAGTAACGAACATTCTTTTTCTTTTTTTCCCTAAATCCTCACCATATAGTCCGCCATCCCTATTAGTCCGCGACTTAACTGCTTTGAATTAAAACATGGTGGATAGTCGTTTTTCTTGACGTGTATATATGAATTCTTTTCATGACTAATATCAAATAAAAATAGTAAATTTTGGTCCAAGTTTTTTTTTTTTTTTTTTTTTTGTTTTTGGACAAAGAGTACTCCATTAACAAAACAAACAGTTCCAAAGCTAGAGGTCCAAGTACAATATCAATATAAACAAAAATATGGACCTCAAAAGCCCAAAGCCCAACACAAAGTGGCCCACAACAAAGACAGACACGTAAGCCGGAAAGCTTCCTGCTAGCTCTTCCGTCGAAATCGCCGCTGCAGCAGCACCCCCGACGATCTCGAACTGCCACGACCAACTATTACCAGGAACCATCATCTCAGAAGTGGAAAGAAGATGGATTCCGGCTTCCAAATGATAGCATCTCGTCAAACCAGACCACCAAAGCAAAGAAGCTTGTGGGATTACCACAAGCGACACTACCAGAAAAGGCAGATAGATAGAAGAAGGTGGTGGTGGTGTGGCCACCCGAACCGGTGAGAAGACCGGAACTCTAAACACCTTCTCAGTTGGTGATCGCAACAGATCGCTGTCAAAAGTGGTTAAAGGTCGGGAGAGAGATGGAATCGGTGGAATCTGGGAGAAAGACATGTGGATGGGTGAATGGATGAAAGGATCTGAGAGGGAGAGGAGTGGATCTGAGGGTATGGAGAGATAAGTGATAGTCAATGGTGAGAAGGTGATGGAATATGCAGGAAGAAAAGCAGGGGAAAAGAAAAAGGAAAGAAAAAGAATGCAGAGGGAAAGAAGAAAGGGTAGCCACCGACCCTAATCGAAATTAAGATCGGCGGCAAAGGAAACTTCTAGGGGTTGTGGATGCTCTCAATCACAAAGAGATTACTCAATACTTTTAGTTACACACGGAGATTTGAGAAACACTTGGTCCAAGATATTCTGGCTTTTGCTAGCCTAGCTTCCTAGAATAAAGTAAAAGACAACTTAGCTATCCAAATAAGAAAAAGTGCATAAGACAATTAAACAAAGGATTTGTCTTTGGTAGTCCAGCTTATTTAGTAGTATGATTTTTTAAACAATTTTCATCATTCATTTACTAGACTACTTAGTAATTTGAACCTATTGTGTTGGTGTCAAAATTTGTACAGAGTCTAGATTCGGTTCAACATGTATTTGCCTGAAGTATTGTTTTCGGTCTTGGCACCACGAGCTCGAGAGAAAGAGAGAATATGCATACCACTGTTGAAGGTTGCTGACAGACAGTGTTTGTATTCGAATGTGCATGGAAGTTGCGTGTAAATCTAACTTCTTAACCATATGATTACGCACTGAATGAGACACTAATTTGGTTAAGTTCTTTTATATGTCTCAAGTGAACGAGGACTTAAAATTCAGTGTAATTTTGTGTATTTGCTTGCCTAAAAAGCAAATGACAGCGAAATAAAAACTAAAGCAGAAAACAGAATGTAATAATTTCATGATAAAGTCAAGATTACAAATGTTTACAAAAGTAAAATCTGGGCCGATAGGCCATACTACATGACTTGAAATGTAAATTGATTGGAAATGTAAAGAAAGTAATAAAACTCTAGCAAGATTATGGCAAGCTGAATAGCAAAGGGGCTTTGCTGAAAGAATGGGGTTTGTGTTGAAAAGCAGTTGCGTTGATTGAAGAATCACTCAAGGTTTTTGTATAATTGTAGAGATTGAATTTGATGAAGGTCCTCAGCTTGAAGGCATTTGGCTCTATTTATATGTGGTGTAGAAGGAGCAACCTCGATCTCATTGCTAAGCTAAAGCATGAGTAGATTGATCATTTGGCATTGACAGTGACTATAATTCCTAGTATATGGCCTTTAGTTGTATCTTGTGAAGGTTCAACATTTACCTGTCTATGGCCTTTAACATCAGCATGTCGAATGATGTGTACATCGAAATTTAAGGAGGCAAGATATTCTTGAGTATGGTTGTTTGTGTGGTAGACGTGCCTCAATGAGAACCCAGTCCGAGCCCTCAGATGGGTTGAGATGGACTGAGGTGGTCATCTAAACCCTAATATATGATCCTTCATATGGGTTTCAAAGTTGATGCCTAGAGTTGTGCGAATTTTAAAGTTTGGCCCTATAACATGCCTTATTTTTATTTAATTATGGATCACACTGTAGACATTGAAATTTCGGTGGCATAAATGTTAACCATTGCATTAAGATTACATTTGTAAACATTGAAATTTTGGTGAAATAAATGTTGACCATTGTATTAAAATTACAACCTTCATTCACTTCACCTACATCATGCACTAAGTTCACCTACAACATCCACCAAGTTCACCTACAACATCCACCAAGTTTCACCTACAAACATCCACCAAGTTTCACCTACAACATCCACCCAAATTCACCTACAACATCCACCAAAACAAATGGATGGTGGTGATTCGTTCCCAAAGCCTATAAATAGGCTCCTCCATCAAAGAATCAAAAGGAACCAATTCACAAATACATTTCTCTACTCCCAAATTGGAAGAGAATCCCCCAAATCTTTGAAGCTTTGAAACTCTAAAGCTCTCAAGGTTCCCGAAGAATCAAGAAAGCTCTCTTCGTTCTTCGTTCTTCGTTCATCGTTCTTCCAAGATCAAGCCCCGACGGCCCTTGGATCAACCAACCACCAATTCAAGATCAAGCCCCAAAGGCCCTTGAAGAACTTCCACCAATTCAAGATCAAGCCCCGACGGCCCTTGAAGAAAGCACTATCGTTCATCATCCGTTCATCCAAGATCAAGCCCCGACGGCCTTTGGATCAACAACATCAACAAATCCACACATCCAACCGTTCTTCAAGATCAAGCCCAAAAGCCCTTGAAGATCCGTTCATCACCGTTATTCAAGATCAAACCTTAACGGCCCTTGAAGAAACACTCATCCTCAAGATCAAGGCCCAACGGCTCCTTGAAGATCCGTTCAAATCCACCTTCAAAGATCAAGCCCACGGCCCATTGAAGAAACTTCCAACAGTTCATCCAAGATCAAGCCTCGACGGCCCTTGGATCAACGAAACATCCACAAATCAACACCTTACGGAGATCGAATCAGAGGATCAAGTTAGAAGAGATCGTAACCCAAAAATCCCTAAACACAAAATATTTGTTTGTGCACGTTGTTCTTGTCTCTTTCGTTTCAGGAATTTTCCGTGTTCACAAATTGGCACGCCGGTTGGGATCTACGACCCTTAATCTCTACTCTTTATCTCGTTCAAGGAATCCAAACACACCTCAAGTTAATGGCATCAAGCAAGGGACAAGCCGTTCTCGCAATCACTGAGGGAAGGATCCTAAGCACTTCTGCCGCAAATGGACAATCCATTGGTGTCACAACCGCTCCTCAACATGCCACTTCAAAGTTGGTGCCGCTAAAAGAGCAAATGGAGCATCAAAGGTGTGAGTCTGTCATCACCTGACCTCGCTGGGGGCACCGAAAGTTATGCTGCTGTGAGGCACACAGATCAAGATGACATCCAAAAACAACCAATGACGTTCTTCGTCAGCATCTTGGATGTCTAAAGGAAAGTCACGTCTATTGGTTGCACAAGTCATGGACCATCGGCGTCGTCTTCGAAGAAAACTTCCTTGGCTTAAAAAACGGGCTAACCATCGTGGAAGAACAACCTGGCTCAAATGAAATGAAGCGCAGTCGCAAGGGCGAACACCGAACTGTGGAGAAGAAAAAGACCTAGCAAGTGTCATCGACGGTGCTGCAGAAGACATGTCTCAGTCGACGGGATTGAGGCCACATGACGCGAGAAGACCCTAACCAGGATGAAGCCAACGGTGGAAGAGAATCGATTGAGCCGGAGCCAGACCAAGAAGCGGCAAGCTCAATCTACCTGGAGCATCTCTTTCTATCAGCACAGCAGTTGCAAGAGAGATGATTGCCAGCAGCACCGTCAAGGAGCACAGTACCAAGGAGAAGGGAGCTCAATTACCTCCGGGTTGTACTCAAAGCCTTATTTCAAAGAAGATTGATGCCCCTAAGATGCCGAGGGGATATCAACCAAACAAACCAAAGTTCATGCAGCAGTTTGATGGAAAAAGGAAACCCAAAGCAGCACGTTGCACATTTTCGTCGAAACTTGCAACAACGTGGGGACGGAGAGAGACTACTCGCCGCTCGCAAGCAGTTTGTGCGTTCACTGAAAGGAAACGCCTTTGAGTGGTACACGAGTGGTACACCTGAGCCTGAGTCCATCAACAGCTGGGAACAGTTGGAAAGGGAATTCCTCAACCGCTTGCTTCTACACAGCACCCGCCGCACTGTGAAGCATGCTAAAACTGACGAGAGCACAAAGCAGTGGAAGGACTAAGCTCGAAGCTGTTCATTGACTCATCAATTGAGCGGCATTGTACATCTAACAGATGGCGTACTCTAGCCTCGACTGTAAAGACAGGCTCTCGGAAACCTCTTCAATCGAGATGTGCATCCAAGGCATGCAATGGGGGGTTTGCAATACATCCTTCAAGGCATTAAACCACAGAGACCTTCGAGGAATTGGCCACTCGCGCCCATGATGACATGGAGTTGAGCATCGCCCCATCATGGAATTGGGAGAGAAAGAACCGATCGCTGACTACAAGAACAAAAGTTCTCTTTGGGCCAAAGTTGGAGAAGACTGCGTGGAAATCTATCAAGGAAGCAATGACGATCAACATAGCTCCTGTCAAAATCCCTACACGAGGCAAGGCGATTCAAGGCGAAGCTTTTCGTGATCAAGAGATGCGTAGACGCACTTTGAAAGAGCTTGAGGAGGAGAAGACTTATCCATTCCCCGACTCTGATGTGGTTGCCATGCTGGATGACCTGTTGGACAAGAAGGTGATCGGTTTGCCTGAGTGCAGACGACCGGAAGAGATGAATCATACTGACAGTCCAAGATACTGTAAATTCCACCGCTTCATCAGTCATCCGAGAGAAAAAATGCTTTATGCTGAAAGATCTCATCATGAAGCTGGCTCAGAAAGGAATCATCGAGCTAGATCTTGACGATGTGGTGAAGTCAAACTATAGCACACTTATCACTCTTTTAGGCTCTTTCTTTCAGACACAAAGTTTCTCACCTCAACCTCTGGAGGCATCCTCCAAGACAAGCAAGGTTGAAGGACTGAAGGAGTCACTCCAAAGTCACTCCTGCAAGAAAAGTTGCATCAAGCTCAAGCATACGTCGCCTCTCAAAGTCCGCAATCGAAAGGGGGCAAAGCAGCTATTGTCAACCTTCAAAGCAACGTGAAAGTGTTGAGGATGATGAAATTACGACACAAAGATCATCTATTGCCATCACAATGCACGATTTCTTTCCCGAAGACTTCTTCAATCACTCGGTCAAGGCTCCTTGCTATGAAGATTGTGAGGAACGCTTCTCCAAAATTGCTTGACAAATCTACCAAATTCTCCTCGCCCGCACGAGTCTAAACTGGATGGCACAAAGCTCCTGGTCTGCACGAGCATAAAAGGCAACACCAATGCTCCTTGTTCGCACGAGCCTAAACTGCACGAACCAATGCTCCTTGTTCGCACGAGCCTAAACTGCACGAACCAAGGCTCATCGCCTGCACGAGCCTAAACTGCATGGCACTAAGCTCCTGGTCTGCACGAGCATAAAAGGCAACACAAAAGCTCCTTGTCCGCACGAGCCTAAACTGTAGGACACGAG